CATTATGTAATGTCTGACAAATTTAACAGAGTATTAATTTGCAATATAATGCAAAATTTCTTTTGACGCCATATTTCACCAATAGATTGGAAACCAGACACCCACCGTACTTATGTTAACATCACAGTTAATGCCTGGTATAAAACACATTTTTTCATAACATAAATGAGCTTTTTATCTCTAACTTTCCTACAGAAGTTTTTAAACAGTAGAGAAAGTCATATATTCCACGTACTTCAAGATAGACATTACACGATAGTCAGAAACATATGGCATTTTGTAAACAACGAGGGGTAATTTTTTTATTTTATATTTAATTTTTTCTCCCCTCGTTCATGTGACATTGTTACATCAGTTAAAGAGGATTCAGAATAAGTCGAAAAATACTTCACTGAAATATTTGGTCTGTTAATTTGACTGCCTCTAGTACAACTGATTGGCACAACGGGGGGTCTCAATCTATAGACTCTTGACATCTTACAATTATAAGTAATGTAGAATATTACACATACAAAATTACATGTCTTTCTGCAAATCATTAAATTCAACAGCACATCCTGGTGAAATCACAGCGAATTATATTGCAATGGGGATACTTTAACTTACAAATTGTGATGGCTTGATATGCACCCGAGTTGCATACCTTTAAGGCTTGACCGACATAGGCCACTTTCTCAGGCCTTGTAACTGCCAAATATGATACATATCATTTAGTAGAAAGCCCACAAGAAACAAGACATACGTCGTAAGGAAGTAAAGGATATGGAAAGTGAGCTTATAATGCGACCCTCGTAGAAATGAATAATCAATCAAAACATATAAATGAACGGAATCAGGCTCCTTCATATACATAATAGAGAGATAATTCGGTTTCAGAAGATTCTCTTGTTTTTCGGGTTAGTTGTGCTTTTAGGTGAACAAGGAACTACAAAAGAAAACCACACAATGAGGTCAGGGTTATTTAGTAACTTTGGGCTTACAATACGTAACTAATTTAGGATGATCAACCAACCAGTGCTTATCTTACAAAGTTCTGATAGTACCAAAAATAGTTCCTATGTTAGTTATATACCACAAACACAAACTAACATATCAAACACAC